GGAGATAAGAGGATTTACGTCGCATCGTACGATGAACTCAGAATCCTAAAGGTGTAAGACTTATATTGCATAACAAGATTGCACAAAAGCTTAAAAGATAAGGTGAGGGTTTACGTTGCGCTAAGCAAAACTACATTGAAGTCCTATGGGTTATGTTATTTATTCTACAGAAAGGTTTAGCTGATGTGCACTTGTTTTGCTGTTGCAGGTCGTCATCCTTCGTTCGCTACGTCATGGTCGTGCTGCCCACGAAGACTTGCTCCATGCCTCATGTAGCAGTTTTAGATTTAGTGCTTTATATGTGAGCATGCAATATTGTTATTTTATGACTTGTCGCTGTATACCTCTTAATCCAGGCTATATCTGAAAGGTTTTGTAGTTAACTTAAAGCATGCATAAACAAACTATGTTATAAGGAAGTGCAGTAAATGAAAACAGTATAAATAAAAGAAAGTAAAATGTACATTACAAGAAAAAAGTTGAATATGCAATAAAGTAAAATGTTGTAAACATAAAATGAACCTGTATATCTGACAGATCTGCTACCTCCTGCAAATGGGATATGCGTCACAAGTACAAACGAACAAGTATAGTGGGGAGTTTAGTAGGTGGGGGCGAATATGCATTTATATACAAAAAAATAAAAGACAAAATATCACATGAAAGAGAAAATTCAAGGGAAATCACAATTGAGCTACGAAAACTCGAAGAAAACAGTGAGGAACACATGGAAAAAACTAAAGAAAACCGTAAGCATTCAGGTCTGGGAGGACTCAGAATTGGGACTCTAGGTCAAAATCAAGACCTTGGAGCCCTAATGAAACGCCATGTATGTGTGATCTAACACTAACTAAAAGGTTCCCGACCTAACAGCCATAGAAAGAGATAATTCCCAAACTTGGTTCATACGACAGACGCGTGAGTTTTCAACAAGTAATTAAGAAAGATTTCATTTTTTTAAAGAAATTTTCATTTGTGATGCACTTCAAAAATATATATATATTTAAACTAATTATGAATGTATATATATATATATATATATATATAAAAGTGAATGAGTTAGTCATATTGTCAGGTTGGAACTTCCAACTATCTTTAAAAGTAAGTGATAACTCTTTACTATGCGGTACTGCCAATCCTTCATCCCTTCAAGGTCATTGAGTTAGAATTGTGCTAGGACTTCCCACACATATCTAGATGATTTTCACATCATTGTCCTAAACCCCGAAATCATCCAACTTACTGCATTGCTTGATGGTTCGTATATAGTTAGTGCTATATATGCGCGCTTATGTTTCAGACATAAACACCTAAAACCAAATGAAGAAGCAAGGAAAGAGAACCGAAAAGAAATAAAATAAAAAAAAGAAAGAGGACTGACCCACCTCTAAAATTAGTATAAAGAGGAGACCAAAACGGTAGAAGGGTTAGCCTATAATATTCACCCACTAGAACACCTCAAGTAAATAACAAAATGAGCACACTTATCAATAGCTAACTCTTACTGCAGCCCAAAAATCATCCGACAAGCCCAAAACGTGCAACCCAAAAGTCACCAAATAAACCCAAAAGGTGTAGCCCAAAAGTCACCAAATTGCTCAAAAGGGGCAGCCCAACAACCACCAATTCCATATTTAAAAGTAACCACTAAGAGAGTGTTTAAAGCCCCGTTTCCAACTTATTAGCAATTCACAACAACTACTCCGTTTAAATTAACTAGAGCGTGGAATGAATTCCCAAGACAAGTAAATTTTAACCACTGCATAAAAGGTAGACAGACCGCCTCTTTTTTTATCAAACTGCCTAGTCCACAATATTCACGTCTCGATTTATATGTATTAGCTGACCCAAAATTCAAATTTCAGTGAACTAAAACCATGGAAAATTTACATACGTGCCACCCCAAATCTTATATATTTATGTGCAGCTTAATTGACATTAGTAACCATTAAATCTCTCCCAAAACCCACATTCGTGCATGGGTAAAATGGTACACAAAAAAATGAAGCTTAGGTGCTGGGCATGTGAATATATGAGAATTGAGCGGTAAGTATGTAAATTTTCCAAAGAATAGTTAAGACCAGCCTAAAAATTATGTTCCTGTTTTAAAAATGAACTAACTTAAAACAAAGATAAATATAAACAATAGAGATATAGGTGGAATTGATAGTGCTTCAAACAATTGAAATAAGCAGACATCCCTTCCTAAAAAGAAAAAAAAAATAGACTACAGAAAGACAGTCTTTCAAAACAGTCCCATCCTGTGTATGTATTTCTTTGGATTATACATAGGAAGAAAGCTAATCAGCACTATGCCTCCTAACATTAAGCATTCCATATTCAAGAAAATGTGAATATGAGAGAAGGAGGCTATGCAAATATATTAGAATCACTTGTTATGCATCCCATTTCTCCAATTATTAAAATGGCCACGACCATCTGATAGTAACCAGTTGGCGAAAATTCAAGATCAACCAAACATGGGTTTACATGAATATCGGTTCCAGCCGGCTTGTAGCATATGGGTAAAAAAGAAATCCAAAGAATAGCAAATTTAGGCATCGCAGAAATCAGCAAAATATGTTGCTGATGCTGAGAGAAATAAATAAAAAAAAAGGCGTACATGTCACTAGCAACACACCCATTGACGAAGAAAAGTTTTAATGCTTTTATGTGAAGCCTTAACCTCAATCCTGGAGTGTTCAAAACCTCATTTATCCTCCATTTGCAAAGACCAAGTGTAGTAAAATAAGAGGCTCAAACAGATCAAGTGGAGTACAATAAAATAAGAGACGCAAGTAAACCTCTATGAAACTTAGTTGCAGCAAGGATATCGAGCAAAACATTTAAACTACTGAGAAACCCACAACGGTATCGAGCAGCCGAGCAAGGAGTACCGGACAAACCAAGATAACAGAGCTCTTAAGGGAGAGGAAAGAATTACCTCTTGAAGCCAAGCCTAAAGAAAAGTGCAGGAATAAACCCAAAGAAATTTCAGCAGCACCTCGCCTCGCCAAAAATTTCAGCCAACCTCTAAACCTTGCCCTAGGTAGGGCTTTTATAGGCAAGAAAGGAAGACACCACCAACTACCAGCCCCAATGTGGTCGAATGAGATGATGGGAGAGGAGGAGCATTTAGGGAGAAAGAACAGTCGTCCTTGGGGAGAGGAAGGGTCGGCCAGGTGAAGCATCACGATTGTAGAGCTGATCGGTTGAGCGGCTTGCGAAGAAGAGGAGTCGGGCTGGGGGATCGCAAGTTAGGGCACGTCAGAGTGTGGTCGATCGTGGGAGAGGAAGAAGATCAGGCTCGACTGACTCGCAAGAGAGTGGGGGAGGCGAGGGTCTCGCGAACGAGAGGCGGGAATCCTCTGGTGCGTGAGTTAGGTTAGGGATTTAGGAGAAAAAATGAAATGTTTTCTTTTTTATTATTAAATTTATAATATTTAATATTAAAATCTCTCAATTTGCGCACGTTTCACTTGTGCATGAAATCCTCCCTAGCTAACATCGACATTCCAGACATGCCGGCGCAGTCCGTTTTGTCATCCGGAGTTGTTTAGATAACTTCGTCGATGATTGGGTTAAAAATGGGTCAAATTTGATTTTCTTTAAATTTTTGGTCCGTGATCGATCGTTTTCAAAGATTGATTTAAGTTCTGATTAATTGTGAAGCCTTTACAGATGTAAGTGACGCGAGTTATGATATTTATATGTGTCCGCTGTTCGAATTGTGACATTTGTGTGCACAAATGTACTAAAGTCATTATGGGTGTCCTAAGGCTCTTATACCCTTTAGGACCTCTACTCGGGCCCCGATGGTTGGTTTTAGTCACTTAACCCAGTGGTGATGGTACATGATCTTAGTCACTCAAACAGGTGGTGACAGCTCGAAATCATAACCACTGGACCAAATGGGGATGACTTGGGACCACCATTGTGAGGCTTTGCAAAATGGTTAAGAGATGGTTCGATTTTCTAAATGGTGTGGGTTCTGTCACTAGTCCTCAAAGATAGTCGATAAGAAAGTCCCATGGCTAGATTCTAGGCTCTAGAATAAAGAGTAAGAAAGACCTCAAAAATGAGGTCAACAATTGCATCATTGAAAAAAAATTAAATTTTTGTGGTAAATATTTGTTTAAGAGTATAATTTTAATCGACCTTAGCTAACAAAACTTCAGGCCTTAATAAATTCACCCATAATTTAAAACTTAAATGAAGGAGGTTGAGATGTTGAAGAAAAATATGAGCTCATCTAATATTGTATATGATAATATCATTTTGTGAGCATCATGAGTGTAACTGCGACTTTTAGTGTGCTATTTTATAGCAGAATCTTGTAGGCAAAGGACATAAGTGATGTCTTTATTGGCCTGAGTGATTTAAGAGTTTTCATAGAGTCATGGCATGAGTGACGTCTTTATTTTATTAGTGTATCTTGTCTTTATTTTGGTTGTTTTTTTTGGTCTCAAATTATTTTCTTGGCTGTTCTTGCGGAATCCTTTCCAATCCCACACCCCTCTTCTTCCGTATCACTTACTCAATTCATAAGCTTGAGATAATATGATATTAACTTGCTACTTTTTGATAGATCTTTTGCTTCTTAGTTCTAGATCAGTAGAAAATTTTATACTGCTTCCTGTTTTCCTTCTTTCTGCTTTCAATGAAGGTTTTCTGATCAATTTTTTTTTTTTTTATTTGAAATCTATCCCATTCTGTAGTTTATGTTTAGGCTGCTTAATCATTGCTACTTTGGATTGTTTTCAATCAGTTTTAAATGGCAATTTCCTTAGATTGTTGACAAGATGATTTCATCCTCAGTTTTCGAAATTATTCTCTCTTTTAATCCTTTCTCTGGTGAAGCACTTCTCAGTTGGTAACAGGAATTGTTTGTGAATGTTGACTTCAGCCTTTTATAAATTATTATAATTTGACAATAAAATGTGTATGATTTTCACATGCTTATAGATAGTAATAATTATAGTTAATAAAAGTGATTGCAGATCTTGATGGAGAGCTATGATCGTTTTTTGGAGTTTGTTAAAAGGAGCAATGCCATAAGCCCAGCTGTTACAATGGAAACTGCGACTGCATTGCAGGTAATCATTTTTGTGGTTAATTTAATTGATGATTAGCTTTTCTCTGCTGCTCTGCTATATGTTCTTCTTTGGCTTTTCTTCCTTGTACTGAATGCGCTTTCTTTTTTCTACATGTACACTTGATAATATTACTTTTGTTACTGAGAGCAGATGAAGATAGAGCAAGTAACCCGAAAAGCACAGGAACAAATTCAAATGGTATTGGAAGAGAAGTGCAGGTTCTTCATATTATGCAGTTTTTTTATTATTTTTTGTTTGCTTTTGAGCATTTAGTATAATGGATTACAGTATTAGGTACAATTGAGTCTTATGTTCTTTTTTGCTATTTCTAAATTAATATACATTTCATTCCCATTTTTTTTGTGAGGCAACTTTGATTCTTTATGTTTACTTTTGTATCGTCTGTGTAAATTTGAAGAAAAGTGCCCTGCTGGATAAAGAAATTTATAATTTCTAGTCTTTGAATTCTTTGTCTAATGATCGTGTCATCTTTAGCTTGTAGTGTAAAAACCATTACATCCATCCTGAAATCTTCTGTTATTTTGCTCCATAAAATTCATAGGTATGCTTGTTAAGTGGGTCTTTATGAAGATTAAAGAATTGAAGTCGTTGAAATTCAGAATAATGCGGGATAAAACAAAATAATTTTATTGATATAGAAGGGGGATAAATAACCCTTATGTGAATCCTATAATAGAAAAAAATCATAAAAAGAAAATAACATAAAAGAAAAGATATATCACCTGTTATCTTCAATTAATCAATTCATATTAATTATTTGGAATTGAAATAAATAACATAAAAATGAAAGCCTAAAATGGGAATGAAAATAAATCCAATCTAAGAAAATAAAATCTAAAATAAGAAAGAAAATAAAATTATATTAGGAAATTAATCTATTTCTCGTAACTTCTAACATGAATAATATATTTTCTAATATTACTTCTAGTACTCCCTCAAGTTGAAACATGGTTGAAAATCATATTTAACTTAGATTTGAAAACATAAAAAAATGGGCGAAGTTCTTCTGATATATAACTTAAAATTTTTATCCTGTACTGTGGTTGTCTTTGACTGCAGTTCCTGCAGTGTAGGCAGGAGGAAGACTCTCATAGGTATTGTTGCAGGGGAGTTTGCAGGAAAGTAGACAACCTGCAGGAAAAACTAACTTCTAGTTGACAACAGCTGTCTTTGACTACATTTCCCGTAGTGTCTGTAGGTAGGAAAAAAGACTCATTCACGTAATGCTACAGGACAGTTTGCAGGAAAGTAGACAACCTGCAGGAAAAAATGACTTCCAGTTGACTGCAATTGTCTTTGACTGCAGCTCCTGCACTGACTGTAGGTAGGCAGAAGTCTCCTACAAGTAATGCTGCAGGAAAGTTTGTAGGAAAGTAGACAACCAATAGGAAAAACTTCAGGTTTTGACCTGCAGAAAAAGGAAAAACTTCAAGGTAGGCCTTACTACAAGAGAAGATACGGAGGAGGGCCTTATATAGAAAAAAACTCTGGAGGAGAACTTGCTACAGAAAAAGTTTGGAGGAGGGTCTATGACAGGAAAGATTCTGGAGGAGGGTCCAATGCAGGAAAAATCTCCTGAGAAATTTCTGCTACTGAGAAAAACTCTGTAGGAGTTGTTGTAGGGATGTTGGAGGGTCTGTTGAAAGGAAAATCTCCAGAGGAGGGTCTCCTGCAGGAAAGATTCGGGATGAAGAACATCATGGACAGCAACGACAAGAGATCGTGTCCATGTGTAGCAAATTTTTTCAATCACACTATGAACCTTATTCTTAACTTTTCCTTGGCATTAGAAAGTGTCTGCTCAGGAGCACCCTTGCTGACATGGTGCCAATGATTTTGAGCATCAATGTCTGTTATAGTAATCATCTTGTCAACATGATTAAAAGGAAGGAAGTGGACCTTGATGATGCCAGCCCTTGCCTCTTTAGGATCTGCAAGCATCCCAACCATGGCAGCATCCATGGCATCCTTGTTTTCAGTCCTTGATGCCCTTGCAACATATAGAAGAACATCTTCCTTGCTAACACCCTTAGCAAAAAATCTCAATAAGATTTTTATCAATATTCAACTTGTTAAGAGTTATCGCTCCAAAGCACATCCATGCCAACCATCTCCTCAATTGTAGTCATCCTTTTTGTAATTGGACCTTGTTGTGATGACCGATGAGATCCAAGAGCGATAGTGACTGACAAGACAGTGGGCATGGTGATTGGGATGCCTCCAAACAAGTAGACAAGCAGGTTGTCAATCCCATTTGTTGTTGCGATGCTGGATAGGATACATGACTATAATCTCTACAAGCATGCCAAAGGCGATGGAGCAGATGTAGAAATTCCCAATGGCAGGGAGAACCTGCTGGAAGTGGCCAACTTGGTTGGCGCTGTCAATAAGGTGGGCAGCTTTGCCAAAGAATGTATGGACGTTAGGGGCAATGACAACTGCTTTAAGCTTCTCCTGTTTGCAAATATAACCAGAGAGGACCTCCGGACCTCATTGCCAGGGTTCTTAGTCAATGGAAGAGATTAGCAGTTAGAGCAGGCTGGTCAATCCTGAAGGGACCTCTCTTGAGAAGCCGAGCATCAACTAGGATAATTGTCTCTGAGCTTGATACTAATGATATGTCCGAGACAAGGATGGAAGCATCCTCCTCAGACCACCTACCGTCTCTCAGGACCTTAGTTTTAGGAGCGACGGGCCATAAGGGCGGCGACAACGTTAACAACGTTGCTCTCTTCGATAAATGAAATGGTGCAGTTAATCTCTAGAATGATGAAAATTCCATATAAGTCCTGCCAGTCAGGGTTCTCTCTCGCTTCGATGGCTATGATGGCAGCCGTCTCCATCACCTAAGAGAGGGGATTCCACATAAAGCCAAGAAACTTGAGAATCTCGCTTTCCGTTTTCTCTTAGATTCTGTTGGGGCTGAAGATCTGGAGCCGGTTGGCTCCCATCTCTCACGTAAGACCTTTCTTGGTACAGTTCAACTGCTCAAAAATCTCCTCCACGGTAATCCTCTCCAGATAAAGTGTCTCGTTCTTGATCTCCTTAAGTCTTAAGCCCTTATTTTCCGTCATCTCACCCTTATCCTCCTCGCACCAGCCAACTAAAAACTAATAATTTCTCAAAAAGATGGGAGCTGAAAAGAATCGCGGACCCTGGAATCCCTATCTCCTAAATGCCATCCAATCACCCTCTCTTCAGGAAGCAGAAGAAGAATGGGGGAGATAGGTTGATAAAGGAAGGGCCTGCAGCACGACAAAGGCTGTTGGCTATAGGGAATGAAAAGTTTTCCGGTGGTATGAAACTTTAGAGTTTTTTCACGGCTCTGATACCATGTTGAAATTCAGAAAAATATGAAATAAAACAGAATAATTTGATTGATATGACAGGGGGTATAAATAACCCTTACATGAATTCTAGAATAGGAAAGACAATAAACAGGAAATAACATGAAAGGAAATATATATTACCTAATATCTCCAATTGACCAATTCATATTAATTATTTGGAGATTAAGGAAACAACATAAAATAGGAAAACCTAAAATAGGAAAAGAAATAAATCCAGAAATAAATCCAATCTAAGAAAAAGAAAATAAATTTGAAATAGGAAAGGGAATAAAATTATATTAGGAAAGAAATCTAATCCTTATAACTTCTAGGAATAAATTTGTTTCCTAATAGAACTTCTAACAGAAGCTGATGACTTTCTTTTTACTTGGCATTCTGAAAATGTCCTATTTTCATGATCAGAAGGTGATAAATCTATAGAGCATTTGGGAATAATTTAAGTTGTTGTATATTGAAAAGTTTAGCAAAAAAAGTAGCATATGGGTTGCAATGGATAGAAGAGTTAATGATAAATATGGTTAAGTGAGTGGAGTGAGTTATAGTTTGAGTTAATTTTCTCTAGGGACTTCAAGTTGTGATATCATGGTGCGGTTAGTTTTTGTGCTCTTCAAGGTGGACTAGAAAATAATTTGAGAAACATATTTTGAAAATTAGAAGAATGAACTATGTTTACTTGAGAAGGAGGATATTTATTTGGGGTGATTTTTATTATTGTATATGTTTTAGTATACTAGTTAATGATAATAAGATTCATGATGGGTACGTAATAGGACATATGAATGTAATTGGAGAAGATGTGCTGGATTTTTTGGTAGTATATGATGTTTATAGCAGTTTTATTATGGAAATTCTACAGCCTTGTTGAAAACCTCTATAACAATGACAACTTTTCAGAAAACCAGCACAGAAACGTCAAAGCCTGCAGAGAACATATCTTCAATTCCGGAATTCCCTTTCATGACCATCCAACTGAATTACAGCTTTCCATCCTTTCTAGGAATCCTGCCAGCTTCAGTGATGCACTTGTCAACCTTGCATATCTAAAAAATCCATTTCTGGATATTCTGCCAGCAGCTTAATCTTGGAAGACCTAAAATTTACATTTGCTAATGATTGCAATTTTCCAAGTTTTCCTACTAATCTTATATATATTCCCTTATCCACAGAGAGGCTTTCTTCTCACTTATTTGACTTCTGGTTGGATTCCATTGGAGTATTAATAGGCCTGCATCAAATCATCCCGATCTTCTTAAGTAGAACTAGGATGTATTCTCACTTTGCTATAACGATGCTTTTTTTGGACCTTGCTACCTCGTACCTAGAAAATATATAATGGTTGTTAGGTGTTTGATTTCAAACTGAGTGCCGAGCATTTCTTTGATCTTGAGAATCTTTTTTCTTCATCCCCAATAAGAATCATATCATCCACATATACTAACAATGCAACAATCTTACCTAGCAGAGTGTGTTTTACGAATAGAGCATGATCAACTTGATCTTAAGAATACTTATTTGATCTCATAGTTTTAACAAACCTTTCAAACCACGCTTCTCGTGATTGCTTATGCCTCCTAGCAATATCTCCATATGTACTTCTTTCAGATCCTCATTCAGAAAGATATTTTCTATGTCAAGTTGATGAAGTTTTCATTCGTTGTTATTTGCTATTAAGAGAACTCTAATAGTGTTAAGTTTAACAACTGGTGCACAGGTCTCTTGATAGTTGATTCCATATGTTTGGGTGAAATCTTTTGCAACAAGTCAGAATTTGAATCTCTCAATATCCTTATCAACTTTTTATTTGATTTTGAACACCTATTTACACCCAATCAACTTCCTATCCTTAA